TGGTTACAATGGCTTTTCCGCGGAATGTATACCGGGATTACATCCTTTGTCGACAGCGAAGGTTACATCGGGCGTACACCGGGATTACAAGCGCTGTACATGACGCGGACAGCGGAGTTTACATCGGGATTACACGCGCGGTACATGGTGCGGACAACGGAGTTTACATGGGGATTACATGGGACTTACACGCGCGGTACATGGGGTGGACAGCGGAGTTTACATCGGGATTACATGGGGCTTACAATGACGGGTCGGGTCGACGGGTCAAGCACGATAAAAAGTATATTTTTATAGCGGTGGGGCCGACTGAGCCGACGTCTTCCGGTGATTCGCTATCACACGTGCGTCTTATGTACCCAAATTTTTTCCTAAAATTAAATTAAGAAAATGAACTTACAGTATTACGTCATCTTTCTCATCTTGACCTCCGTTTAGTTCTTCGTTCGCCGCGATCTCTCTGAACTCCGGCCACTTCGCTGAAATCGAGCGACTGCAAATTTCGATAAGTGAACAGGGTTAGAAATTTAACAGAGAGGTGATAAATTATGTTTTTATGCAATGTTTTTGATGATAAGAATGTAAATATTAAAGTTTATGTAATGTTTCGCGGCTTACAGAGACCCGAATCTACCATTTTTTTCCTCCTCGTTCCTTCCTTCTGCTCCTCTGCTACCGGAAACCATTGAGGAAGGTAACTTCACGTCTTTTTTATTTCGCGCGAAGCGTCCGTCCCGGTTTTACTAAATCCACCAATTCGCGGGATTTCGTACATCCGGGATTTAAGGCCGAAATCCTTGAAATCTGGATTTATAAAATCCGAGGCTTTGTTTTGTCCAATATGACCGTATAGCAAGATTTAGGTTAAATCTAGCTTAAATCCTGTTGTAAATCCGTTACCAGACAGGCCCTAAATCGTGCTTTGTTGATATCAATTTTGCTTTTTGGCAGGATTTAGGTTAAATATTGCTACCAAACACCCTTCATCGATTTCTTTGTCGCAGACTCTCATCAGCGCTGGTTGGATGCTTGCTTCTATGACCCAAATTTTCGACTACGATGAGTGGGCCCGAATTCCGGTTCTTCCTTTCTTGCGATATCAGCCTTCCCGTCGCCTTGCGGATTGACAGATTGGAAGGAAATCTGCCACAATCGTCCTCTGTTATATCTGGTGCTGTTTCTTTTACTTGTGCTAATTTTTCCTTCTTCTATGCCCTGAAACCCTAATTTCTGTAAACTGTTTTTGATTGTGCCAACTTCTGGTTTTATGATTGTTTGATCGAGGAATTGGAGTACATTGTGGGGAAGTTTGATAATCTATGTTGAGACTAGGCATAGTTGGCTGAAATTTTTACCAGAATGAATTTTAGTACATAGGTTTGTGGAAGTCCATGAGTTATGATAATGTGGAAGTGGTGCTTTTATCTGATTAGTATTAGCAGGTGAAGTCTAGGTAAGTATACTAAGTTGAGGCGAGTATTACGTTGCTCAAGTTTGTTTATTTATTTTCGAATTGAGTTCGAGCTGAGCTTGACGATGATCTGAGCTTTAAAATCTTGTTCAAACTTGTAGATTAATTTTATGTCAAGTTTCAACTCCTATCAATCTCGATTAATTATATGTTTAGTTATAATAATGTAAAGATACATTCTAACTTTTAGAGTGGTCAGCATAAGTACCATAATATTCTAATATATTTATGTTTACAACACCTTAATTTTAATATTTATTCATTTAACACTTAAAATTTTTAAATTACTCCAAAATTATCACTACTATTAACTTATTTAAAGTAAAGCAAAACTATTATGATGTATAATTGGATTTCAGATATGTAAATATGCAAGAATACTATGGTATGTATGTAAGTATTCCTTTTTAAAATTAGCTATGTCGATAAAATTTAACCAAATTTGACATAATTCATAAGATGTTCTTCAACTTATTTGCCAAATTTTAAATGCTAATAAGAAAAAAAAAATACATATATAGTTATTTATTTGCATTCTCATCGTAGTCGCACCTCTAAAAATATACTTGAAGTTTTGAAATGTATTAGAGTTATGATAATTAAATCAAGAACAGAGAATAAGTCATCTAATAGCCAATTAAACCTTCATTAAATGAACCTTTTATGGAATTCTTACCATGCTACTTGTTAAACAACAAATGAATATGTCCATGAAGATAAACGAACAAATGATCTGTGTTTTAGCTTGTTCATTTATATGACGGGCTATTGGAATTTTGTTCAGCAATCAGGCTGGACTATATTGGAGTACAAATCTCCCTTTTTTGGAGTTGAACTTGTTTGCTAGTCTCGGCTCTGCAATTCTTTAAAGTCAAAATTGATGTATCCTGATGTTGTTGAATTTTTGAAACTAGTTGTTCAGAGTTAAATATTGAAAACTGTTTGGTTGCATGGAAGAGGATTTGTGGAGTTAAGATTAGATTTATGAGTTGGTTTGAATTAGCAGACAAGTTAATCAGTATATATTTAAATAAAGATTTAATGAGTGTTATTTGGTGCTCAATTTAGCTGAATAGGAATTAATTCAATAATATATGAATTAAATGTATGCGTATGCTCATTTAAGTCAAATAGTTTGTAATTAATTTCTGATTAGGATGTTATGGCTTAGGTATTAATTGTGCTAATCTGCATTTAATTTCTATAATAGGAAAGAACTTCATTTTTAATTGAGCTTACTTATATAGTTTATCAAATGAAAAGAAGGGAAATTTACATATGTAGAACACAATTCTTATGTATTTACATATCTCTCGCTTAAACTTTCATATTTACATACATAACACTTTGGTGCTTTAGAACTTTGCATGAAAAGGTTTGTTTAAAAAAAAATAAAAAAAATAAAGGTTTCACTTTTAAGAAGCGGTAATAGTGCTATTTTTGATGTCATATTAAAGATTTGAATGCTATGTGCATAAATATGAAATTTTAGGTGTGAGATATGTAAATACATAATATCGTTAACCTTGACCATTCACAATCAATAATTCATTAGGATGTAACTTCATCTCGTAAGTAGTGCACCATAGCAGTCGGAACTGGGATGTACAATATCAAATTTAGTTTCTCCCTTTTGAGTTGAAGCTACCACTAGTGCTGTTAAAAAAGCTTGTTGTTTGTGAACAACTCGTTTTCGGCTCATTCGTTATGTAAACGAGCAGAACACGAATAATTTTTTTAAGCTTGAATTATAAACAAGCCAAACACTCTTTGTTCGTTCGTGTTGGGCTTGATTTAGCTCAAAATAAAAAAAAAAATCATATAATTATTTATATAATAATATATTATATATATTTATATCTAAGTTTAAATCATAGCAGCTTGTGCTGTAATGTGGTTATGTGTTTTCTTTTGCATAGATTTGGTCTAGGTTCGAATCCAAAACTCTACATTTATTTTTTTTCAATTAATTTTAACAAGCCAATTTAGAGCTGAACACGAACAAAAATATTTAATTCGAGCCGAACACATACACATTGTTCACGAGCCGATCGAGCAATTTCAAACAAGCCGAACACGAGCGAAGCCCGAGCTTGCTCAAGCTCGGCTCGTTTAGAGCCCTAGCTGCCACACCTGCTTGAAAAGTTTGTGAATGATGAAATTGAAATTTTATATTCCTTTAACTTTTAATTTGCTTCACTTTTCAGATGTTGATTCTGCTGCTGGAAGCAGGCATGCGGAGCTATTCGTTGAATGTGCTCTGTACATAGATGGAGCCCTCTTTGGTCTACCCACCAGAACTAGGTTTGATTTTTCTCATTTTGTGTATCCAGCAATGAAATGCATTTGTTGTAGCTTGTGAATGTGCATGAGATCCAACTTCTTTTGCTGACAATTAAGCTTATTTTCTGGGAAGATTTACATGCATAGCACTCAATTCTTATGTATTTACGTATCTAACACTTCAATTTTTACTTATACGCCACCTTACCTATGCATAAAATGGTGCATTTAACTTTTTAAAAGTTAAAAGATGGTATTTTTGATGTGATATGAAAGATTTGTGTGGTATAAATGTAAAAATTAAATTTATAGCTGTTAGATATGTAAATGCATAATAATTGGGCGGTATGTGGGTAAATGCCCCTATTTTGTGCTATATGCCAGACTAGAATCTTCTGGGCAACCTTATTGCTGGAATGAGCTGATCACATTGAGCACCAAATATCGGGATTTGACTCCTCAGGCACAACTATCTCTGACTGTGAGTTAATGTTTTTTTCTGAAAATACAATTGAGTTAGGTTTTTAGTAATGGCATTGTTGTGCAATGATTTATTTTTGAAATAAGTTTTCTGTTACTGTCACTATGAAAACATTATGTGCGACCTATTAACAAAATTTTATTTTCTTTCTATGAGTGAGGTTTTGATTATTTTCATACCAATAGATTTGCTGGTTTGAACCAGATTGACATTCAGCTCACCAAGAATCCATTGATTAATTGTTAGGAGAAGTTGAACAGAGACTATTTATTTTTTTAAGAAAAATTGATTAAATTTTCAGTGCAAGTTCATTTTCTTTGGCGCTTATGCTGATACCATAAACATGTTGAAATTGGGAAAATCAGTCATCTCAAGCCTTGAAATAGTTAAAAAGAAGTAATCACCCCGGGTTCATAAAAGTATATGAACCACTCCAGAATTTTTAAGTGAATTTATGGTTCTGATTTTTGTTATTTTCACCAAGAGATTAAAAAAAACCTAAAATGGGCTATGCTATTGCTAGTTTATTGGATGCAAGCTATTTTATTTATTATCTGCAAGATAGTGTTTAAAATTGGCTAATTTAATATGTTCTGCAATTGCAAAATAAAATAGCACATTAATAGTCTCAAAAATCATGGTGAAGGAGAGTTGGATTATTCTTTTTGATCTGTTCAAAGATGTAATTTCATTACTATGGTGCATTTAATATAAGAAAGCTGCATGCGACATTTACATAAATGGCACCCAATTGTTTTGTATTTGCACAACATAAATGGCACCCAATTGTTTTGTCTAACATCTAAATTTTATTTTTTACACATGCCCTTTTTTCAATTGTTGACCTCATTTTTGTGAGGTTTTACCTCCCTCTTCATAGAGCATAGGATCTAGCCATAGGACTTATCTATCGACTATCTTAGAGGACTAGTGTCGGGACCCACACCATTTAGAAACTTGAACCATCTCTTAACTCTTTTGCGAAGCCTCACAATGGTGGTCCCAAGCCATCTCCATTTGGTCAAGTGGTTATAATTTCGAGCTGTTACCACCTGGTTGAGTGGCTAAGATCATGTACCATCACCTAGGACCAACACGTCGGGGCTTGAGTAGAGTTCCTATAAGGATCAGAAAGCCTTAAGACACCCATAATGACTTTAGTACATTCGCACACACAAATATCATAGTTCGCGTCACTTACACATGTAAAGGCTTCACAATTAATCGAAACACAAGTCAATTTTGGAAATAACCAATCAAGAACCCGAAATTTGAGGACAGATCGAATTTGACGTATTTTTGACCTGAACGTCGACGAGGTTGTCCGGACGACACCGGATAACGAAACAGACTATCCCGACGCGTCCAGAACGTCAAAATTACCTCGAAAAGACATTCATTTGCTAGGGTTTTGAGCACAAATAAATTGCGCGCAAATTGATATGTAAAAAAATATAATATAATAAAACAAATAACAAAATAATTTAAAAATAACAAAATCCTTGTTTTAAACCTATTTCACCAAACTCACGTATCCGATTCAATCTTTCCCTTCTTCGACTGAGAGTCCTAGGCATGCTCTAACTCCCGCCGCTCGTCTCCCTTTTTCTTTCCCAGTCACGGCTCGAGTGGAGCCCTAGCTCGCGCCCCTTGCTCGACCCCCGCTCGCCCGAGCGGCTCGCCAATCGCGAGCCTTCCTCTTGGCCGACCTACCTTTCCTCTTCCTAGGCCGACTGTTCTTTCTCCCTAAATACTCCTTCTCCTCTCCCATCATCCCATTCGACCACCTTGACACTCCTCCTCTCCCATCATCCCATTCGACCACCTTGACGCTGGTAGGTGGTGCATTTCCCCTCCCTCTTTGCCTATAAAAACCCCATTTGGGGGGTCTTTAGGGTTGGCCGAAGTTTTGAAGAGGTGAAGTTTTGCCGGATTTGTCACTGGTTTCCTTTCTTTGGAGTTTTGTTTTTTTGGGTTTGCAGCAAGCGAGCCAAATGGTTTTGAGGTTGACAAAGTTTTGGTGTGAGGAGAGGGGCGCTGCAGAAATTTTCTCCGGGCTTATGCTTGCATTTTTTTTCTGGGCATTTAGAGTAAGGAGTTCTTTCTTTCTTTACTTTGTTTTGAAATTTATTACAAGCCTTTGAGGAAACTGGTATTAAAGGTTCATATATATAAGCATCTTCTGAACGAATTTGCTTGTCTTACTTTCTCCATTATGAAGCCAAAGTTGGATGTTGCCTCATCTATATTATGATTTTCAGATTTTCTTTGGCAGAACAGATTTTCTTTGGCAGAAATTTTATTTTCTTTGGCAGGAATTTTAACAATGTTCATTCCCCTATCATTCTTTATTACGGTAAAAGCTTGATGCGATTAGTATTTTATGCTGCTAATTATTACAGTATTTGGAAAGCTTGATGTGCAATGTGCAATTTCTGTATGCTTACGTATCTGATATTGGGTATTGAGGCTTAGAACTAGTCACAAGTTCTGTCAATTACAATGCGTTAGATATTTAGCACCGTGGATTTTAACTCATGCGTGTATAGAAGTTTAGAAGTTAAGGTATATAAATATAAAAGATTTGTTTGAGGTATATACATCTTGCTAATATCTTTGACGGAGGGGATTTCAAATAAAAAATCTAGCATGATGACTTTGTGCCTGAAATCTGAGACATATATGCAACACAATTCTCTTGCATTTTGATACCTAAGCACACAATAGTATATAATGCCTGAACTTTGAAACCTGTATATGAGATTGTTTAATGCTCACATATTCACATATATAACATCTAAACTTTAAAAGCAAGTGTACAGATTTTTCAATTCATCAAGTATTTACATTTCTAGCATTTCCTTTTACATTTATGCCACCCAATCTTCCATATCTCATTAAAATTATCGAGTTGTATGTGAATACATACAAATTATGTGGTATGCATGTAAATTGCCTCTAATTCATTGTTAGCTCTATGTATTTTATTGGAATGGATACTTTTGATGTTTTAATTTATTAAAAGTACATACAACATTGTCTGTAGGGGAAATTCCTATGCAGTAATTCATGAAAGTTGTGATGCCCCACTTTTACAAAATCTGAAAATGTTGGATAGTTCATTTGTAAAATTCGGAAAGTTGTGATGCTTCACTTTTACAAGAATCTGAGAATCTCTTATGTTTGTTTTGAAAAGTGGCGGTGCCTTATACTTGAAAAATCTAAAAGCTCTCGTATTAAATTTGAAAAGTTCACAAATGTTTGGGTGCTATACTCATGTGAAAATTTGAAAGTTTGCATTTTTCCTTTTGCACTTGTAACTTTGGTGCTATACTCATGTGAAAATCTAAAAGTTTGCATTTTCCCTTTTGCACTTGTAGCTTTGGTGCTATACTCATGTGAAAATCTGAAAGGTTGCATATTCTCTTTGCAAAGACTTATCGCTTTGATGCTTTACATTTGAAAAATCTGAAAATTGAAAAGTTTGGATAGTGAGAATGCTTTACTTTTACAAAACCTGGAAGCTTTAAGTGGTTTTTTTGGAAAATTTGAAAGTTTTTTCGAGTCATTTTGATTTTTAAAGGTTTGAAAGTCTTTGAGGAGAATTAAAAGAAAAACAATGATAATTAGCTTGTTGAGATGATTGAAACCCAAGGGGAAATTGGGTAGCAAATAATTCATAGTATTTTTACATAAGAAGGATAAAATTGTAACTGTGAGAATTGTTGAGAATTGGAAGAAAGTAAGAATTTAAATGATTCAAAAGTTAGGGGTATGAATTGAATAATTGAGAGATCAGTAGACTATCAATTAAGACCCCTAAGCATTGGTTAGACTTAAGCCCAATTGTTTTAATCAGGATTGAAGCACATTTCATGAACATGTTTGACAAAATTATATGTTTACCCCCTATGTCTTAAAAGCATGCTAGTGAACTAAGTTTGATCCAAAGATGTTCGAGGATTAGTTGAAAAACACTTAATTGAAGAGAACACTTTAAAACACTTCAAGCTCAAGTTGAAGTGTATACTTCCTAGATTTTAGGAGCACGTCCTATGTGAGAGTTCATCTACCTAATTTTCAAATAGATATTGAAGCTAGAGATCTGACCCTAATTCATAAGTTAGTTAAAACAATAGACATGATATGCACCAGACTGTGATTCATTACTGATTTAATTAAATCAAATAGTGAAATTATCGTCACAACTTGACCTAAAATGAAGCTTAATGTTATGAAATTTGAGTTTGAATCTTACACTCAAATCCTCCTGGCAATTGAGTACATTTCCAATGTCACATATAAATTACCTACCCTTGGTACTTTATATGTGACGTTATGTTTTGTTTGTTTGTCATTTTCTTATTATTTGTTTCGAGTATCTGTGGGTCACTTTCAATTTTCCTCAAGGCTTTCCATATGCTACTCTGCCATTTATTCTATTATGCATAAACACATGTTTGACCTACTAGTTGAATTTCTCTAGTATACTCTATATTGTTACTTGCGACGTTGATCCCATTTGTAGGTATAATAATAACAAGAAACTCAGCTCAAGTACCCAAAGTTTACAACACATTTATAATACTTTACTACATTTCCTTTATTGCTCTTTACGATGCCTTTTCTTTATGTTGCTTTTATTTACCACATCTTATATCGTTTTCATTTAATGTACTTTCTTATAGCATAATTAGTTTATGTATGCTTTAAATTAACTTCAAAACATTTTGGATATAGTCTGGTTTAGGAAGACAGCGATAAGTCACCAAATAACAATATTGCACGCTCACATATAAGACACTAAACGTGAAGTTATTACTACATGGAGCATGAAAGAACTCTTCGTGTGTAGCACGACCAGGACGTAGCGAACGGGGGATGACGATCTATAGCAGTACAACAAGTCTATGACAACTAAACATTTTCCTTAGTTTAAATAACAACCCTCAGGACTTTGAGGTAGTTTGCTTAGCGCAACGTAAATCCTCAAATTGTCTTTAGGCTTTTGCACAACCCTGTTGTGCAATTATAAGTCCCAAAACTTTTTAGGATTTCGAGGTTGTCGTACGGTACGGTGTAAATCCTTCTATCTCTCAAGACTATTTGCACGATCGGATATCGTGCGAATATAAGTCCTAAAATTCAAATAAATTGTAGGATTGAAACATTAAATAACTTCATTTCAAAGACATAAAGTCAAACAATAGGATAGTTGGGAGATTACCAGGGTTCTCCTCAGATTCGTGATATCCTCTGCTCTTCATTCGTTTGTATTCCTTAAAATAATTGTTCTTATTTGAACCACTCTCATTTGACTTTTCTTTGTCAAACTAATTGTTCTTATTTGAACCACTCTCATTTGACTTTCTTTTGTCAAACATTGAAAACCTAAACTTTGAAATCTTGAAGGCAGAACCACTGATCTTAATCGAGTCTTCTTAAGTGACCTCGATCAATTTAACTATAGGAGCTTGCTTTTATAGTGAACTAAAACCCCAGAATAAACCCTATGTAATCCTTATATTAGGTTGGGGAACTTGTCGGCCATACATAAAATGTTTTGCAGATTAAACAGATGTCACAAAATTCTTTGGTTTGGGTGGTTGAGCGTACTACAAGTGATATGCTTATTCTTCGGGATAATATATTACTTGTGGTATCGCGTTCAGTCGTCCAAACTATCCAATACGTGAGACCCGTTTGGTCTCATTTATTTTAAAATAAAAAAATATTATTTTTTTAAAATCAAAATTACATTGATATCTATATCTATGTAAATCTAAATTTAAAGATATTTTTTCAAAAATCCCGACCGACACATATCAAATACAAAATACTACTGCATTAACTTTTAAAAAGTGATATAGAATTTTTTATGCTTAGGTAAGGTGAAATTATATGTAAAAATTAAAGTTTAGGTATTTGATATATAAATACATCGGAATTGGTGGCATGTATCCAAGAAGAAAAGAAAAGTATAGAACTTTAGAAGTGTAATAAAGCTTGGAAAGATGAGAAAAGTTAATCAACATAGTCCTCATGGTTACGATCTACTTCAAGTTGATTGTGATTAGGGCTGGCAAAACGGCTTGTTGCTCGCGAACAGCTCGTGTTCGAGTCGTTAAGAAGCTTGTGTTCGGCTCGTTAATTTCGTTCGATAAGTTAACGAGCCGAATACGAACAAAGATGTGTTCCTTCGTGTTCGGCTCGTTTTGGCTCGAAATACTACTCATCAAGTTTATATATATATATAAGTAGTATTTAAAAAAAATCTAATTGACTACAAGGCTACAAAGATTTATAAACAATTAAAATAATGATTAAGAAAATAGAATAAAAATTCTTAAATTAGATTCAAATGATGAGCAAATGAGCCGAACACGAACACATCTTTTGAGCTCGAAATATGAACGAGCCGAACAAGAACGAGCCTCGTTTACACCCCTAATTGTGATTTGGCTTATAAATTTTTATTTGCCATTCTTTTATATTAAGAATATTCTAATTTTTTAAAATTAAAGCTGCATCGTCTAACCTTCTCCTCTTCTTATTCATTATTAACATTACTGTGTGTTAAAATAATTCTAGTTTGGTCGAGTTTCTTGAAAGATACCGTCTATAGCATGGGCTCACATACACATCCAAGAAAACATGAGCTGGCCTCAATAAATTTTCTCCTAGCCACTAAGTGGCTTGCACATTAGAGTAGGGCTGTGAACGAGCCGAGCTTGAGCGAGCTCAAGCTAGGCTCATGTTCGACTTGTTCGAAATTGCTCGAATTCGAAATTGACTCGTATTCAAAATTGGCTTGTGAACAGTGTGTTCGTGTTGAGATCGATTTAAATATTCTTGTTCGTGTTTAGTTTGTGCTTAACTCAAAATTGACTTGTTAAAATTAATTGGAAAAAATAGATGTAGATTGTTGGATTCAAACCTGGATCAAATCTATGCAAAAGAAGACACATAACCACACTGTCACATGAGCTGTTATGATTTAAACTTAGATATAAATATCTATACTATATTATTATATAAATAATATATATAAAATTTTTATTATATAAATAATTATATGATTTTTTTATTTTGAGCTAAAATGAGCCAAACACGAGCGAACAAAGAGCTATTCATGTTCGGCCTCCTTTATAATTCAAGCTTAAAAAATTGTTTGTGATTGATTTGTTTACTTAACGAATGAGTTGAGCTCGAGCTACTGCTTTATAATTCAAGCTTAAAAAATTGTTTGTGATTGGTTTGTTTACTTAACGAATGAGTTGAGCGCGAGCTACTGAACGAGCTGTTTGCGAACAACGAGCTTTTTTGACAGCCCTACATTATAGGGAGCCAACACAGTCCTATAAAACTTTGTTCAATTTGATCTTTTCAACACCGTTCTTGTTTTTATTTGGATTTAAAATTTTTAAATGTCTATGAACCTGTTTCAATAAACAGATCTTTTGTAGGGTGTCACACAATATTTTGTTATTGTTTGGTGATTGGCTGAGCTGAATTGAGCTAAATTAACTTTTGATTCATTCATTTTGATTTGCTTCTTAATGCATACTTTGTACTATTTTGTACCTGATCAAGCCAATTTTTTACTATTCTAAAAACAAAAATGAACACAAACGTAAAGATAATGATAATATTAAATAACAAAAACAATGATAATCACAACAACGACAATGGTAATGATATTGATAAACCAATTATTAATAATAGTGTAATTTTAAATTCATTATGCAAGTGTAAAACCTTTGCTTTCATTGTGTTTTAGAATTTATAGATTCTGTATGTTAAATCATGTTTCTCGTTATTAGAATGGCAATAATTGGTATGCAATGTTTGTTCAAAAATTGCTTATAGTGTGTGAATCTAAAATTTGTCGCAAAAGTGTTAAACCTTTTGTAAAACAGAAGGAAATTAGACCCACCAAAGGAGTCCTCTGTCTTGGCTGAATGTGAAAATATCCAACTTGATATAATGACCGTCTAGAAGTTTTCATGTTTCATATGAATTGAATAAAATAAACAACGCGCTGTTAACAAATTTTATCATAGAAGTACTTGTAAAATATTTCTAAATTGCACTTCTTCGGGAATACCTATCCCTGCTGCCATTTTGAGTGGGTGCAAGCTTAAGATAGATTGTTTTTTTTTTTTTTTTTTGATTGGATGTAGGGAGGATTGATAGTCTCTTGTTTTGAAGTATTGACATAGACGACATTTGTGTTCAAAACTTAAAATTGTTGCTTGGTTATCGGTTCTCATCTGCAATTTCATATTTACTTGCAATATAACATTATGTAATTTTGTCCATGCTTGCACATTTTTGGACGTCATAAACTTTAATTTTCTTTCATGCTTTTGAAACTTTGTGGTACTTCATAAGTTGAACACAACACGTAACTTTGTGCCTGTGGAGGATTGCTTAGGAATTTTATCGTGTTTATCATAAATTTCTCATTGAAGTTTAAATTACAAAGACATGGGTGAAAACTTGATAATGAGAATAGTACTGGGGGAGAATTTAAAATAGATTTTATGGTGAATAGTATTCATCAAAATAACATTTCTACAATATAGGATGAATGGTCTGTTTTGAGATAGCTTTCTGACTGCTTTGCGCTTCAGACCGCCACCACAACTTTATTTGAGGATTTGCTTTCTTGCTGCTTTATAGAATTCTTTTTTGGTGGAAAGCTATTTTTTTTCAACTTGATATGTTAAAGTGGGGTGGATGTAAAAAAACGGCCGTCTGATTTAAAAAAAATGTATTTTTTTATAATTATCACCACAACTTTCTAGAAAATTGATTCTTTCACCACAACTTTACAATCATCTTTTTAAAAAACTACATCCACTCAAAATAAACACTAAGACATCGTACAATACCAACCGTGATTTAATATTGGATCCCCATTCATTTATGTACCCCTTTTTATGGTAAATAATATGCCTATCTCACTTTTAGCCGTTTTCTTTGGGTGTAGGCGGTTATCAAAGAGAAAAAAAATTGCGAGATCTTGCTGTTTTCAAACAACATTACTAAATGTTATTGGAGTGAAAAATCAATTGTTCTTCAATGGCTGTAGCATACTTGTTATGACTCTCTCTCGAGTTAAGGACTTCCCACTAGAAATTGTAGCATCATAAAAACTATATGTGCGCCTTATTTACTTGTAATTACCATGAATGGTCACAACAGGATAAATACTGAAAATAAATAACTTAAGCTTTAGACTGTAAGATATAGCTTGATGTTGAACTTAGGAGTGATAAAGATCCACTTTTGTACATAAATAGACCACTTGAAATCCGCTCAAATCCCTAATTGAATTGATTTCATGTTTGTTTGACTCAAATTGGCTCAATTTTGTGTTGTCCAATCTTGAACGAGCTCGCTCAATTTTTTTTTTATTTTCATGTTATTTTATATGCATAAAACCACATTTATAATATTTATGTGCGCCCACAGGTGCGCGCACAAACAAAATGATAAAAATATACAGCCTAATCTGATCGAGGTCTGGCTTAAATTCTGTTCTAAAATCGGACTAAGAAAAAATTTGGCCATCATTTGAGTCAAATGCTAAAAAAATTGTACTAAAATCTCAGTCTTTCTTGAAACCATTCTTTTTTTGCACTTCTTTGTTGACTATGACGCTTGGCTTGCTAAATATGTGAAATGTTGTGATCATTCATTATACGAGCCATATTGTTCTTCAATTTGACAATATTGTTCTTACCATGTAGGTTTGGGATGTTTCATGTGATGATGACGATTGTGTAGTTGGGGGTGCTACTATTTCTCTTTTCAATAAGCAAAAACAACTTAGGATCGGGAGGCAAAAGCTGCGACTCTGGCCTAGAAAAGAAGCGGATGGGTCGATTCCATCCAGCACACCTGGGAAGGTTTTTATTCCACCAATGATCTAGTTCTAATCATGCTCTTATTTCAAATTCTCGTTGTCTTTATTTTTAGGGAAATTTACATACATGCCACCCATTTTAGGGAAATTTACATACATGCCACCCAATTCATATGTCCTAACATATCTAACACCTAAAGTGTGATATTTCAATCTATAACACTTTGGTGTTATGAACCTATGCATGAGAAAGTGTATTTCACTCTTAAAAGGTTAATAATTGTGGTATTTTTTAGGTTATTTTAAAGGTTTGAGTGGTATGCATATGAATATGAAATTTTAGGTGTGAGATGTGTAAATTCATAAGAATTGTGTGCTATGTATGTAAATGTTCATTTTTTTATTATTTCAACTTTTGTTAATAATATTTCACCAACTGATGGAGGGTATCTCAGGTACCTAAACTTGAACTGGATGAGATAGACCGTCTTGAGAGGCTTGTTAGTAAATATGAGAGGGGGCGGATACAGCGCATTGATTGGCTTGATCGGCTTACATTCAAAGCTATGGATAAGCTTAAGGAACGAGAAAGCAATGTTTGTGGCAATTCTCCCCTGAGTCTTATTGTTGAATTTTGCAATTTTGAACATACTGTGGTTTTCCAGGTTGGTTTTCTATTCTATCAGCGTTTTTCAAATTTATTTGTCCAACAATACAAAATCTAATCATATTATTTAGGTTCAGCGAGAAACGAAATTTAAAGCTGCGTTATTTGCTTATTCAAGTTTGTAAAAAATGCCATATTTATGTTATTGCTTGGAATCTGCAAATAGATCATAATTTTAATATTAATATGCCATGGTTGGATGGGCAAATAAAATAAATAATATTAATAATTTTTTGAAGCAACCAGTTAGACCTCCCAAGCAAGTTGCTTGATGATTTATCATTTTGAAAGCATACAAATAAGCTTTGCACTATATTAAACTTGCAGGAGCTTTCAATCTTTCTGCTACTTCAAGTAGGCCAATGTGAAGCTGTTTATTGGGAGTAAAAATGCTTTAATTTTTTTGTTTTAATAAAATTAGAATAAATGTTTCTCTTTCCTTTTTATTTCAACAGAAACAACCTACTTTTTCATGCACTTAATTTACTTGGTCTTGCTGCAAACGTTAACTGACTTAACTATGATTATGGCTGAGAAGATCTTAAAAGGTGAAACTGATTGAGGCTAAGGTTTCTAGTTGTTCTCGGTTGTGTATCTTTGCTTGATGATCTTGGTGATGATCATAGCGATTAGTTTAACTATTCAAAAAATAAAGGGAAACTTACCTACATACCATACGATACTTATGTTTTTACATATCTAATATCCAAAATTTGATATTTACACTTGTAACACCCAGGTGTCATAAACTTATGCATGAAAATGTGTCTTTCACTTTTAAAAAGGTAGTGATGGTTGTATTTTTTATGTGATGTCAGAGATTTGTGTGGTATGGCTGTAAATATAAATGTTTAGGTGTTAGATATGTAAACTAAGAAGAATTGTGTGGTATGTATGTAAATGCCCCAAAAATAAAATCACATCACCAAAACCCATATGTGAAAGCTAAAGGCTGATGTTAGGTTGACAACAACTTGCAACACATATTTTTCCTTTTTTTGTTCCCTTTCTCACTCTTCATATCAAAGCAACTGTTATCAGTCTTATGATACATCTTCTGAATTCCTTGTGCGGTTAGCACGCCAGTTACGTAGAGATTGAATTGATGTCAAGTATATAGAAAAAAGGTGGATTTGCATACATACCTTCCAATTCCTATTTATTTACATATCTAACACCAAGACTTCGATATGTACGTATATACTACCCAAATCATTCATATTACATCAAAAGTACCACTATTTTAACTTTTAAAATGTAGAATATACCTTTTCATGAATAGATAAGATGACACACATGTAAAAGTTGAAATTTAGGTGTTAGATTTGTAAATATATAAGAAATGAGTGGTATGTATGAAAATCTTCCTAGAAATAAAGGGGGTACACCTGAGTTAACATGACTCTATGTTACATAATAGGATATTTGTGCATGAGTTAATTGCATTTGCAATGCTGAACGATAATGAATGAAAATGCTAGGGCCAAATGGTTGGGATAAGAGTTATGATTTTGATCTCAGTGAAGCCTTTTCTTGTTTTGTGGTTTCAGCGTTGTTGTCCATTTTTAAGTAAGGAAATGATTCATTAATGAGAAAAGTGTCAAAATAGTTTCTTGACTTATTACAAGGGGTCATTTTAGTTCCGGAGTATATAAAATTAGAGGACTGTTTCAGCTAATATTAAAAGAGTCTGGAGATTAATTTGACTTTTTTATAAATTTATCTTAAATGACCCCATATAAATAGCCAGACAATTTGGACACTTTACTCCATTGTTCATCAAGCTGCGTTTATCATGCATTTAATGGTTAACTCATCGGACCCTTTGATATGTAGGAGACCGGAACCAATTTTCTGACACCCTCTCATGTATCTTCAACAAATGAACTTGTTATTGTGTGGGATCCAGAAGTTGGCAGGACAAATCCTTCCGAGCACAAGCAGCTAAAGCTTGCAAGGAGCTTGACCAGGGGAGTAATTGACAAGGATCTAAAACCTAGTATAAATGAAAGGAAGTAAGGACTTGCTTGATTTTGTTTTTTTGGGCATTTACATACATAGCAAACAATTCTAATGTATTTACATATCTTACACCAAGGCTTTCATATTTGCACACATAGCACTTAAATCTTTAATATCACATAAAAATACCATTATTATCACTTTTTAAAAGTGAAATGCACCTTTTTATGCATGTATTTATATGAAAGTTTAGGTGTGAGATATGTAAATGCATAAGAATGGTGTGCTAGGTATGTAAATTTCCCAATTCTAGATAATATTTCATTTTTCTAATTAAGATGTTAAACAAAATGCCCTACATTTGAGTGTTACTATTGCAATATTAGTAGCATTGTTATTTTGTTAACAACAGTATGTAAACAGCAGTGAACCAAACAGACCGTGTTCAGTTTGAAATTTTTAGAGTCCCTACTAATTTTAGTTTCAGACGGCTTCATACTTTCTTGCAGTAGGTTTTCTTTTGGTCACAACCTTTCTTGCTATCTTCCTGCTATTTTAGAATGTATGGTGAAATTGCAATGATACCAGTCTGGTTGACTCATATTTGAAAGCAAGAGCAGCCAACTTTTAACAGAAACATGATGGGAATAAGAAAACAGGCAATTGTAATAGAGAAAATTTTGATTTTTCTGAATTTGAAGGCTTGGTTACTTTTTTTTTTATTGGCTATTTTATTTGTTTCTGTCGGCACTAAAAAAAAGTTGGTGGAGTTGCCTGTATGAAGTTGTCGGTCACCGGAATCGAAATCCCGTCGCCCGCTTCGGAAGAACGTTTAATTGACATATAAATTTAAGTTTAGAAAAATATGAAAATCAAATTGACCTCATATTTTTCATAGTTTAAATAAAAGAGCGCTTTACCTCAAATCCTGTATCTATCCGGAAGGATAAACACAATACTTGAGAGTGAGACTCGATCAAATAAACTAAGAAAGATATGACATTCGTTTGGTCTGCGGAACCGTTTTGTTTGTCGACAAATTCCCCTATTTAATATGAAAAATTATATAGGGTTTATTTTAAGCTAGGTTCAGAAAAGCTTCCTATAAAGACAAACCCCTATAGTTAATTACATCTTAGACAACCGTAGTCATCTAAGAATACTCTCGATAAAAATCAGGAAAAAATATCTTAAATGAGGTCAAAAGGATAGAACTTTTCCATGAAATCGGACAAAGAGGTGTGCAAAGGGGAATGATTCAAAATTGAAATATTTATTGTAGAATCCAAAGGAGGAAGAACTAGAGGATGTCACAGATTCGAAGGAGAACCTCGGTGATTTCCCAGTCTACCCTATGGTTTGACTTCAATTTCGAGGAGAAATTATTCAAGTGCTTCTTCCTGCCAATTATATTTAATTAGGGCTTACATTCGAAAAAAAAATCACACAACCAGCCTGGAAGATATGAGGATTTAGGTCGTGACGACGACAACTTTGGAATCCTAAAACAAGTCAGAGCTTAAATTGCACTGTAGAACTGTACAAATGCCTAACGAAAAGTTGAGGATTTATGTTGCACTAGACAAACTAGACAAACAACATTGAAATCCTATGAATTGTTGTTTAATTCTAAGGAAGGAATGATTTAGCTGGGGAAGATATGTTCTGCTGTTGAAGATGGCCTTGCTGCCCACCGCATTAGCTCCAAGTTCCTTGTCGTGACGAATTTAAGTTTTCTAGGGTGTCAGGTTATGATGTCAAATCAAACGGCTCCATGGTTATAATTCTTTAAACATTATAGGAGAACATGTTGAAGTTGTACAGTGTATAGAATGACAGTAGAGTATGTAACATATGACAATCAACAGAGTATGCAGTAAAGAAAACAATACAACATGCGGTGTAAAGAAAAAGTAGACGGTACAGTAGGAAAGTGATTACAAGAAAGTAACCTGCTGTAAACATAAAGCAAACCTGCATATCTGAGGGATCCGCTGTTCCTTAGATGTAGCTGATGCAATAGGTATAAATAACAAAAATTGAGGAAACAGGCTAAAATGCATTATATAAACGAGAGCAAGAAAGAAAAGAAACGTCACCCAAAAAAACCGAGAAAAGACGGTAAATGACCCACGATGAAAAACTCGGGAAAAATCAACGAATAATCCATGACGAAATGCTCGAGAAAATCGACGGGTAACAATTCAAATAAAATCTTAAAAAAAAAACCTTGCAAAAATCCCGGATAAAAGACCACGAGTGTTTTGTCCAAAAATTTTAATAAAACATATGAAAAAGTTTGAAAAGAGGGGACCGCAAGCACTCGGGTCGGGGCTAGACTCAAATATATGTTTGTACTCGAGGGTCGTCGAAGATTACTCGGTCACCCGGATGTATAAAGCCCGTCACTCAACTAGAAGGGTGTCTTATTGAACCTAACTTAGGAGGGTACTCCTTAGCCCAAACATGTAAGCCCAAACATGTAATCAACAGGTGGACAACCAATATTTAAAATGTATTTAAAATTTATATTTTTAGCATGCACATAGATTTCAAGCATACAAAAGTGGGTCGTATCAATTTTGTTTGTAGCAAAAAATATATAATTTTTTGTTTGAAAAAGGTGTATCCGTTCTTATCAAAAACTTTTTATTAGTTTTGAAAAAGTGTAGTTGTCTACGAGTCAATCACACTGTCGGGCGTATGATGTCGGGCGTATGATTACTAACAACCTAAGAAGGTACGGGTCAACTCCCGCTATTCTTATGTCGGTGAATGCTATTACATCTTACAGTTCACCGGTTCCGTGGGGGTGTTCCGATGTCGTAGCATGGAATATCATTACGCTTTACCACCGGTGTGGCTTTGCATCACCGCCCTAAGCCCCAAAACAAAACCGACCTACTTGCGACCTTGCTTGATGGTTTCACATATAGCAAAATGCTATACGTGGACATTTATATATCAGACATAAGCATAAAAGAAACGAACCTATAAGCAAGAAAAAAAAAAAGAACAAAAATGAGGTGAAAGAGAGGAGACACTAATCCACCTAAAACACCGAAAAGACGGAGGATGAATTAATTCCCAAAACTCATGACGAAAAAACTTGACAAAGTAGGGCCCAAGGTCCTTGAATCAATCCAAAAAGATGTCATTTTCTCGCTTTATTAGAATTGGATCAACCCAAGGAGGGCGTCCTTTCCAAATCCTGTTTCGAACGAGTCGAAACGAGTCCGAACCGACACGACGATTCCCCACAAATGACCTCCCCGACATCGGTGTCTAACCTCCAAAAACATCTTCCATAGGCTCAATTTGACTCAGCTAAATGTTCTCCCAAATAAAAAAAAAACTCGTAAATCTTCCAAACCACACAAATCAAGAAAAAGGAAGTGACTCGGGGGAAACCACCACTAGCATTTCCAAACCCATATCAAAATTAAGGTTTCCCAACTCCTAAATTAACCAATAGCCTCATATATCAAATAAACATAGAACCTTCCAATAAAGCCACATAAATGCTCACGGCCGGGGTCAATAGAAAAGGGAACAGCCACCAAGGCTCTCGGTCAAGACGATAAAAGGGTCCAGAAAGTAGAGGGTCGCGGGTAAGGCCAACAAAAGCACAACCGAACTCCAAACTAGCTCACGACCACAGATGACAAGGAGGAGCCCAACACAACACAAACCCACGGGTGGGGGACAAGGAAACAACAAATCTACACCTATTAATCTCATGGTTAGAGGGCAAAAGGAGCGCCAACCCAAGCATTGTCAAAGTATTGCTTTTGCTATGCATAAGAGAGTGAATGGACAAGCTTTCATAAATCATCCCAAACAGACTCTAATTTCCTCAAGCAAGACTCGAGAAATATGCTCAATTCATTTTGAATCACCTCATTCTATAGATAATGCATATACATGTATTTTTGGATGAAAAACTTGATTCATCAATAACATTCAAGCCATTCAAGCCCAATAAGAAGGACCAAATCAAATCAAACAAACTCCAATAGGTCTCACGAGTAGTGGCTGTAAGAGGACCCCCCCGACAACTCTCGAATAAGGACGACACAAACCACAAACCGGACCTTTAGATAAAAGCTTAAAAATGAGTCAAACCGAGCTCCTCAACTAAGGCCAAAAACCACAGCCAGCAAATGGCCGAAACCGAGTCCAGCACAAGCCAAAACCGAGCCCAGCAGGGGCCAAAGCCAAACCAAATGACCTACCAACAAGCTCACGGGTAAGACTAAGAACAAACCAAATCAAGCCCCCAGGCTACCTCTCGGGTAGGAGCAGAATAAGACAAAACCGAACCCCAAATAGGGGTTAAAGCAAATAAAACTGAACTCTCCCACAGCTCTTGAGCAGGGACAGCAACAAACACCCAAAACAGACTCTCGGGTAGGAGCAAAGACAAACAAACCAAACCCCCAACCAGGGCCAGACTTTCGAGGCTACTAAATGGAACCCAAATCATTAGGACAAAACCTCAATCAAGACTAAAGCCAAAAGCCTCAATGAAATCAATATCTCGTGCCTGAAAAGTGCAAACCGAGTACCAACAAGAACCAAACCGAGCCGCGACTAAGGCTCAAAAACCAGGCCACAATAAAGGCTAGAAAACATCTTCGCGCCCTCAAAACATCAAAATATAGGGCCACCACATGTTTCAAATAAAAACAGCTATAAAACTTTTCCAAATCAAGATAAATTTCTTCATAACATGCATTTTTAAGCCAAAAAAAGAATTTAGTTACTAAAACCGAGCCTTTCTAAGCCAAAGAGCAGCTCACATGCTTTTTGAAATATCAAGATATAGAGCCAACATAGAACAATAACATAGAGAGCGTATTTAAGCCCCCAACTTAACTATTCCAAGCATGAAACAACTTCCAACTGATGTTTAAATAAAAGGATGCCTCGTGAAGAGCTAAACCAAGCCATCAAAATAATTTATAGGACTTTCCAAATTAAATAAATTCTTTCATAGCATGTATTTAAAGTGAGGAACAACCGTAGGAAACCAAAAAAAAAATGAGCCCCACATGCATATGGAAAACAAAACAAGTTCTCCAATAATTCATGCTAAGCAAGAGTGAATAAAAAGCCTTATGATACACATCCCAACATGCATTCGAGAGGAGCTAGCATTGTCTCAACGCCATATTTTAATCTTTCCAATTTGCTTCAACTAGAAAGAAAAGAGAGGAGCTAATAACATGTCATATTTTAACCATCTTAAGCAAGTGATCAAACCCAACTCCTAGGACTTGCCCACATTCCTATCTTTCACATGCTCAAATAACAAATGTTTCAAAATATAGGTGCAATACTAGACTAACATACTATACCATCCACAACACCAACTTCAAGGACTCGGCAGAGAGAAAACCGAAAAGGAGTAAAGCACAAGGGGGGTTAGAAGGTACCTCCTTGAAGCAAAAAGCCAAACAAAAATTTCAAAAGCACTTCACCACTTTCAATCTTCCTTGAACAGCACCAAACCACTCCAAGCCTAAAAACTAGAGAAGAAGGGTGAGAAAAGAAAATGACAGAGTTTTTTCTCCCTTAGAAATTTTTTTCTTGGCTCTCTGAAAGGCTCTAAACCGAGCTCTAATAAAACCAGAGAAGGAGAAGGAATGATTAAGAGGATATGACAAAGGGATCGAGCAGGGCAGAGGATGAGATCCTCGCAGAGGATACGATCTGCCGCAGAGAGGATCGAACGCAGAAGGTAGAGGATGAGATATGAGGGATGGACGCTTGCAAGGCCTGTCTCGCGTGCGAGAGGCGAACGTGGGAACACGTCTTTCCAGCGGCACGAAGGAGCGGGCCAGGTAAAATCGAGCGAAGCCAAAACTAGGGTAGAGGCCCACGAGTGCGAGAGAAAGAAAACGGGAGGGGGAAATATATTTAGGTTAAGGATTAGTAAATGTTATTAATTATAATAATAATAATAATAATATATTATTTATTATTATAATTAACACTTAAATGTGTATTTTTCCCTGGACGTGTCGTCGCAGTGAAACGAACGTCTCACTAAGCAAAATAGATGTTCCGGACGCGTTGGCGCTGTTCGTTTTGCCATCCTGACGATCGGGACAAAAATGCGTCGCGACCCGAATCGCGTAAAAAACTTGGCTCGAGCTCAATCAAACAGGACGACGAAGAGCACGAACGCGTACAGTCAATCCTAAGGCCAACATTTCTATAGGGATTCTGCTTGAACTCCCTCACAGTAGCCCCACCTGCTAAGTGCCTAGAAGTCAAAAGTCACCATGCGGAACGTCAAGTCGAGCGAAGAAAAGCTCAGAACTTCTAACAGGGAGGGCTCCTTTACTAGTTTTCTAGGAATAATCGACAAAAATGTTTTACGTCTAGACCCTAGGCTATTAAAAAAAAGAGAGACTAGACCTCTGCCAAAAGTAAGGTCAACAGTTTCTTTTTTTTTAAAGCTGTATTTGATACATATAAGGAAACATAACAAGACTACCTTCTTGGACTTATGCTAAGGGAGGGCTCCTTTACTAGTTTTCTAGGAATAATCAACAAAAATGTCCTACGTCTAGACCCTAGGCTATTATAAAAAAGAGAAACTAGACCTCCGCCAAAAGTAAGGTCAACAGTTTCTTTTTTTTAAAGCTGTAAGGAAACATAACAAGACTACGTTCTTGGACTTATGTTGGATTTTAACACACTGTCTCTATTTTTTAGTAAAATTAGGCGGGTTGGCTAAATTTAAGTTGACTTGGATCAAAGTAGATATAGTGCCTAGAATATCATCTCTTATATATAACTTCATATGGGATTGCACATAGCTTCTAATCATTAGAACTTGATTCTTCTCTAGCAACTTATTTTTTATGTTAATTAGTCCTCTCCTTTGAATTTTCACATGTAAGGTCAATACAGAGGATCCTCAAATACCCTCCTACTCGAATATTGACTGGTGACGAAAGGCAGCTGCTGTGGAAATTTCGTTTCTCATTGATGTCCGAGAAGAAAGCCCTCACCAAGTTTCTGCGATGTGTTGAATGGAGTGATATTCAGGTAATCAAGCCAAGATCTTCTTTTGAGATTTATTTTTTGGCTTATTTCAAGCTTTTACTGGAAATTCTCTTGAATTAGAAGCATCCTCCGATAAATTTAAGGGAAATTTACATACTCAGCACACCATTCTTATATATTTACATATCTCACACTTGAACTTTCATATTTTTATGCATGGCAGTTTTGTGCTTTAAACCTATGCATGAAAATTTGCATCTCACTTTTAGAAGTGGTAATAGTGCTATTTTTGGTGTGATATTAAAGCTGTGTGTAAATATGAAGGGTTAGGTGTGAGATATGTAAGTATATAAGAATTGTGTGCTACGTTTTTAAATGCCCCTAAATTTGAACGGTAGGGTATGACCCTTTCTGTAGAGAAGGGAAGCAATAGTGACTAGTTTGCACAGTAGCCAGATGATGCTTTTTCCTGTGAGGGACTGAATGTTTTAGTTTTTATTGGCTATCTCTCTTTAATAATTCAAATTCTTATTGTCAAATGAAAACATAAATTGAAGGATATGACTTGAATCAAATTCCTTGAGCTTAATTATAGGTCCACATATTCTTTTTCTTCACAAGAAAAAAAAAAACTATTTTCAGCATTTGGGTGTAGGACTACTAGGTGGTTTATATAAAAAATTCCAGTGCAAAGCTTATTGCTTTTCACTAATCCTTAGGAGCCTCAGAAATTCTGCACACTGGCTTGACTATCATTGCAAATTCTTATCTAAAATAATTCTTCGTAAAAGTTACATCTATTTCTGAGGTTTATCTAAAATAAAGTAATTTTCAAATCCTCTAAAAGGTTGAATTACCCTGGCATGGAACCCTGCTGTGTTTTCTACAGGAAAATAACATACATATCATTAGTAGCTGGACACCTTATGTTTACCAGTTTACTACCATTGGAACCTTAATTTTTACATATTTTTGAAATGAATTTTTTATTTCGTGCCAGTGTTGAACGGTTCATGTGATTCTCAGAGAGCATATGCTTCTTGTTTTTGCGTTACGGTCATAAGCATCCATAAGGTGGTTACATAAAGAAAACTTGTATACTATACTGAGATACTTGTTTGTTCATAGGAATCTAAACAAGCGATCGAGCTAATGGGAAAGTGGGAGATTATTGATGTCGCGGATGCACTTGAACTTTTATCTCCTGTATTTGAGAGTGAAGAGGTGAGTGATTTATTGCAACCATCTTTTTTTCAATATTATTAATCTTATTAGTTTGAGACATTTACATGCATTCCCCCCAATTCCTATGTATTTACATATCTAACACCTAAATTTTAATGTTTACATTTATACGACATAAATCTTTCATATTACATGAAAAGTACCACTATTTTAACTTTTAAAAAGTGAATACATTTTTTTATGCATATGTAAAGTGGCATACATTTAAAAATTAAATTTTAGGCGCTAGATTTGCAAATACATAGGAATTGAGTCAGATGTATGTAAATCTTCCTCTTATGTTTTCTGTCGAACAATACTGAACGAATTTGGTATGAAATTGCACGGTATGGTCATAGAATGGCAAGCATGAAAGAATTATTTGGCCGGCGCTCACTTTTGTTTCTTGATCGCACTCCCCATTGCTTATTGCTAGTCTCCCTTCCAATCGATTCTCACCTTCTATCTCTCCATCTCTTTCTCTGTCCATCCCCCTCACCTTTTTAGATTTTTTTTACTCCACTTGATCCTTTTTTGCTTTCACCCACAGACTTATTGGAAAGGAGAAGAGGTTACGTAGACTTTACTATGTATGCAAAGCAAACAACATTGCAAAATTTTGGAGTTTGTCTATCATGAAGGCATGATTATTACTATTTTCGATTCCTTGAGGGTTGTTTGGTTTAAGTAGAATTTACTAAATTTTATGAATCCTGATTTATCTAATCACGAGGCAATTAAACCTTGAAATTTATTTGACATGATAGAGTTTAATTCTGTTTGATTTTTGTTGTACTATTGGGCTACTTATTTCAAGATTAATTCTTTTGTTCAAATATAATTTTAATATAATTATTAATGATGCAATCTTTTGGATTAATTTAGTTATATGTTTTAAATGTATTAATATTTGGTTTCTAATTCATTAAGTTATTTGAAAATAGCTTTAGTTTAATTAAATTATGTACAAAATTTTCTTACATAGCTAATATTAATTTCTAAGGTTGATTTAAATATTTAGTTAATATATCTATCTCCAATTTGATTTTTTTTATTATTGTTAGTTTTAACTTATATCTATTTAATTAAATTGTTTGAGGAGTTTTTAGTTCGTATATCTGCATCAAGGCTCTTATTTTCACTACCTTTTGTTCCTGCCCAAACCCTTGCAAAAAGACAAATGAGAAGTCGCAATTGGAGCTTGCTGGAAAGGCATAGTTGTGATTGTGTTGTATGAAGGAGGATAGGGGTTCTTGAGCGGCAGTGTCTCGTCTTTTTCTCCTTTTCACTCCTACTTGAAACCTAAGGAAAAAGAAGCGAGGAAGTCATAACGAGTGCATTTAGGCACTCATTTTTAGTTGTTAAATCTCCTAACTTTGCAGAACTCTAAAATTTACTAAATACAAGAATTTAGCCGAAATGAGGAAAAAATGAATTTTAAGTTTTGATAGGATTAAAAAGGCCCATTTCAACTTTGGCAAGATTTTTGCTAGAATCTGCATAAATCTGACTATGAAAGAAACTCTGAATAATTGCTACTCTCTAATTCTAATCTTATTTTCTTCCAGTTTAAAATGAGATTAATATATTGTTGACCTCATTTTCGGTGATATCTAATTCTTTCTCATAGATCCTAGGATCTAGCTTTAGGACTCTTCTATTGAATATCCTAGAGGATTAATGAGAAGATCCACCCTTTTTGAAACTCAAACCACCTCCTAGCTCTTTTGCGAGGCCTTATATGAGTAGTTCCAAGTATTCAACTCTTAGTTGTAAGGGCTAAGGACCAGCATGTGGAGGTCTAAAGAGTGTTCATATAGGGTTTAAAAACTTTAGGACACCCATTATGACTTTCGTACATTTGTGCAGACTAATATCATAATTCGGACAGTCGACACACACAAATATCATAATTCACGTCACCTACACATGTAAAGGCTTCACAATTAATCGAAATGTAAATCAAATTTTGAAACGATCAATCAAGGACTAAAGTTTGAAGAACATCGAATTTGACATATTTTTGAACTAATCATTGATGAAGTTGTCTGAACGACATCGGATGACAAAACGGATTGCGCCGGCTCGTCCGGAACGTCGAAATTACCTACAAAAGACATCCATTTTGCTAGGGTTCTGAGCACAAATAAATTGTGTGTGAATTAATATATTTAAATAATATAATATATTTAAACAAAACAAAATAATAAAAATAACAAAAAAAAATCCTGATGTTAAACCCTATTTCACCTAAACCGCGCACGCGGCTTCCCTCAGCTCCTCTCCCGCTCGCGATCCTTATCGATCAAGCCCAATCCCTCCCTTCTATTCGGTCGGTTCTCCTCGCCCGAGCCCTAGCTGGCCGATCTTCTCATGTCTTCCCGAGTCTTCTTGCCCGACTCCTCTTTTTCGCAAGCCGCCTGGCCGAGCAGCTCCCCCATTCGCGCAACATTATCTGGCCGACCCCTCATATTCTCGAGGCTGCACTATCTCTCTCCCTAAATGCATTTCGTTATCTCTGTCACCTTATTCGGCCACCTCATGGCTGGTAGGTAGAGTTGGCCTTTCTTCTTTGCCTATAAAAACCCTACCTAGGGTAAGGTTTGTTTTTGTTGAAATTTTGGTAAGGGGGAGGTGTTGCTGAAATCGTTTGGTGTGTTTGCTGCTCTTGGGTTTCTGTTATCATTCTTCCCCTTTCTTTAAGCTAAGCAAGGTATGTGTAGCTTACCTTTCTCTTTAGTTACTATTTTCTCTCTTCTTCTTCTAGTTGCGGTTTTATTTTTCCTTTAGCCCCGTTACTGCTGTTGCTGGTTGATTTTTTTTTTTTGCCCCAATTCTTCAAAAAAAAAAAAAAAAAAAAAAAAAAAAGGAAGAGAAGGAAAATAAAGGAGTGTTGGTGGACTGTATGCTTGTAGGACCTTACATTTTAAGTGATGTTTTGGGGTTGCTTTTGCCCCTTGCTATCTCATTGTTTTGTGAAAATACATTCAAGTGCACCCTGAACTTTAGTTTTGACATGTCTTGCGGTGATGTTTTGGGGTTGTTTTTGCCCCTTGCTTTCTATCTCATTGTTTTGTGAAAGTACATTCAAGTGCACCCTGAACTTTAGTTTTGACACGTCTTGGGGTGATGTTTTGGAGTTGCTTTTGCCCTTTACTTGCTCTCTCCTTTTCACTGTTTTGCTGAAATATACTGAAGTTCTATATTGACATGTTTCAGGTGATGTTTTGGGGTCGCTTTTGCTTCTTATTTGCCATTTATACAACTGTTTTGCTGAAATATACTTAAGCATAGCTGAAATTCCATATTGACATGTTTAGGGTGATGTTTTGGGAGCTTTCTTGCTCTTTACCTGCTCTTTACTTCACTGTTCTTGTTGAAATCTATGTTAGTATACTCAGATGCACGTTTTGGCATGATTCTAGCTATTTTTGGAATGGAAGTGTTTGGAGTCTTTCTTGGCTCCTTGTATGGTCTACTTGGAAAATCATATTTTGAGTGCTTGTTGCATTTATGTTTTGGTGGTTTGAAAGAAGTGTTTGGAGCCTTTCTTTGCTCCTCATTTTTTTTTGGAAAGTAGCGCTTTAAATGCTCTAATGGGCCAGCATTCTTTTGGTGGTTTGGAGAGAAACTTTGGGGTGCCTTCCATTGAACTTTGGGAAGGTTTTAAATGTGATACTTTTGCGATGTTGGAGCATTTTAAAAAAATGAGTTTTCTTAAATTCACATCGTAAATGTCCGAAATGGTTTTAATGCGGTTTTGAGGGCTGCATTTTTTTACTGTTTGGAAGGGGATTTAATGCTGCAGTTTTTTGGGACTTTTGGGATCACTCGGGGCTTTGTCAAGCTGTGGCTTTGATATTTCTGTCGGCTCATTTAGTTGCAGTTTTTGGGACTTTTTTTTAACCACTGGAAAATCTTGTTTGGGGCTATTTTTGGACAAAGTTTGGGGCTGATTTTAGCCCTGTTTCGAGCAGCTTTAAATGTCTTTTTTGGATTGATTTGGATGCCATTTGGAATGGTTTAAAATGTCTCTCTTTCGGGGTTGGTTTGCTTGTCATTCGGAATGTTTAAATGCCATCTTTTCTAGCTCATCTTGAGGGCTTTACTTAGTGTTCGATAGCTGATTTGGAAGGCTTTTTTTATTGTTTTGGAGTAATTTAAGCATATGTTATAAGGCTGTTTTGAGTACTATTTTGGAAGTAATTTAAACACTATTTTGACACTGTTCTAGAAAAATGTGCGGCATGCAATTGAGATATTAATTTAGCTTGTTGAAGGCTACATTTTGGTTTGCACTTTAGTGGTTTGGGAGCTTTTCTATGCCCTCTACTTGCTTCTTGCTGATTTTCTTTAATTTAGCATGCTTAAAGCTATATTTTGGTTTGCGTTCTTTGGTGGTTATGGAGAAGGCTTTGGGCCCCTTTCTTGATCTTTGTTTCACTTATTTAGAAAGAGGTGCTTTCTTTGCGCTTTATTGTATTGAGCTTTTGAAGAGCTTATTTAAATATTTAAGTTGGTGCTTTTCTCTACTTTTGCTATCCCTGGCCGTGACTTATGTTGACACTTCTTGCGGGAATTTTGTGGTGTTTGCTAAGAGTTTTGCCTCCTCTTTTGCTGCCCTCTGGCCGTGGCTTATGACGCTACCCTCTGTGGGAATTCTGAGTTTTGTTTGTTGGGAGTTTGCCTCCTCTTTGCTGCTCCTAACCGAGAGCCTCTTAGTTCCCCTTTGTTATATAGAATTTTCTCCTTCTTTCCCCCTCTCTTTGCAGCATTTTTATACATGAGGATTTGATGTTTTTTTGTGACAGTGGGAAGAAGTTTCAATGTTGCATTTTGGAATGTTGGGATAGTGAAAATTTCAAAAGAGGCTTTTTCATGTCGTTGGATGTTTGAAGCGATTTTAAATGTGGTTTTGAGGGTTAATCCATCATTTACTTCATTCCTATTTCAAAAGGATCAATACCTCTTCTCTTTCCCCTCTGGTTTGCTTTCTATTC